ATGATAAATGACACCGTATGTGTAAATGTAAAGCAAAAATCCTCTGACAAAATATTGTAAAAACTCAAAATATGTCTTTCTAATACACAGCTACACTCAATGACAGACGCAACTGAAAAAAGTTCAGATGTTTGCTGGTAAAAGATGGAATCACGTCTGTCTCATAGCAACAGAATCTTTAGCTCGTGTTTTGATGCTACATGTCAACACACACGTATGTATACAGTATGTATCTGTCTCTATATAGATACAGATGGATACAGACATCTACATGTATGTTTCTATGTTTTGTCATGTGACATGTGACTAAATCCTGTTGAATAAAGCCATATATGAATACGTGCTATAAATAACTGACCTGAATCACACTAACCCACACCAGGCTAACTTTCAGCGTCGAACTCCTGCCGCTCTGAGAGCGATCGGCTCCGGATGCATCTCGTTAGCACGGCCCACTGGAGACCTGTGCTACTTCAAACACCTCCATGCCGCCGCCGCCGCCGCCGCCGCCGCTGCTGCTGCTGCTACTGCTGAGCCTGCTGCCTGCTGCTGGCTATAAATAGAAGCCAATCTGCAACCCCACCTAATGAGCACAATCCACTTCAGACCTTACTGTCAACAACCAGCCACCACCACCAGAGTGTGTGTGTGTGTGTGTGTGTGTGTGGATACAGCTGACCACGCTGTTTTGATCATGGCTCGACTGCAAATCACGTCTCTGCCGAGGAGTGTGTGTGTGCGTACGTGTGTGTGCATTAGGCTCTGGCTATCTTTTGTTGCTAAATATAGACAAAGCAATTTTCCGAGTTGCCTTGGCAGGATGATGGCAGCTCGACAAGAAAATCGCCCTCCTCTCCCTCTCTCCCTCTCTCTCTGTCTCTCTCTCTGTCCAAGTTTGCTCCTCCATTTTTTTTTTCTCCTTCTTTGTCTCTCTCCTCTTAACTCGCCCAGATCTTGCTGACCTGTCACACCTCTAAAGGAGGAAGTGTGTGTGTGTGCTTGTATGTGTGTGACTAGTGTGAATGCTTGTTTCTGCACATCTGTTTGCATGAATTTTTAAACGTTGGTGCATGTTTACTGGCAGAAGTGGTTCTAATGTGCAGCGCTACATCATAGAATTTAGCGGAATCAGCTGATCGACAACTTGACGTAATCAAATAATCATTAGGTCTCGATGTGAACTGGAGCTCTGTGAGATTATAAATGTGTTGTTTGTTTCTAACAGATTGTTAACATGCTAGCAGGGATCACAGCGTGTAGTGTTACTGTTAAAAGTTAGATTTGTAGTGTGTTTTATATTAAACACGAGTCCTTTGATATATTGCGAGAAAATACAAATAATTGGGATGAAGGTTGGTATTTGGTTCACGAAGAAAAAATACAAGTCTTAGATGTTCAACCCATATTTAACCCTCCTGAAGTTTGCCGTATTTTTATTCTTTTTACTGCTGTGTAGTAGTTTCACGTACATATGTGTCTGCTCTATTAAATCAGGTTCTCCATTTTTATTTAAGCTTATTTTGTTATATTCATGTATCTCATGCTCATATTTCTATATATATTTTTTTTTTTTTCTTGAGCAAAGCAAAACAAATCGGGTTTAAAGTGATGTATAAATAAAACTGCCGTTGCGAGATTTCTGATTATGCAACGCTTGTCAATTTGACAAATTAGCTATTGCCCAGCTGGTGATGAAATTTGCAACTGGCCCAAAATGCTGAGTCGATGCCATCTTACATGTCTTTAGTGCCGAGCCCCTCTGTAGTTATTCTGAGCATTTCCCCCCAATATAGCTCACTGCTTGTTTCTAACTGGTATTAACGTGCAGTCTGTATTCAGATAAGTGATCCAGATAGAGGAAAATGCACTTTAACGCATGGCGTGAACGCATGCAGAATGAATTAGGATTGGGATTGGAATGCCGTCGGATCATTTTAAAGGGGGTCAGATTTGCAGTGTTATTGGATTTCAGGTGTAAATGCAATCAGTGCAGCGTGACCACATCCTGGAGAAAAAAATCAGTTCCGCAGCCGAGCGAAGCGACGGCTACAGGTGGCAGGAACCACGTTCAGTCAGCAAACAGAAAGAGAAACGCTGATGTGAGATGTGCTGTTGTTGTCGCTAACTCAACCAGCCCTGACCCACGAGGAATGATTTTAATCCATCCATCCATTATCTATACACCGCTTAATCCTGGACAGGTCACCAGTCTATCACAGGGCTACACTTAGAGACAGACAACCAAGCACACTCACATTCACACCTACGGACAATTTAGAATCACCAATTAACCTCAACATGTTTTTGGACTGTGTGGGAGGAAGCCGGAGAACCCGGAGAGAACAGAAATTATTTTAATGCCAGATGAAAACACACTCGGACGTGGATGTCGGTGTCTAGATGGTGTCAGAGACATTTACATTTTTAAAAAGTCTGGATTTACTTTTACATCAGCTCTTCTAATGTCTTCTCATTTCATCTCACTTCATTGTTATAACTTCCAAATCACAAAAATTACCTCTCAGGGTATCCTGAGTGCCTTTTTTATATTGTGTACTTGTTTTATTTTATTTTCTCTTCTTGCTTTATTTGTATAATGTATATTTGCATCTTTTTATTGCTGCTGCTCTTCCCTTTCTTAATTTCATCCTATTTTATTTCTTTTTTCTGTGCATGAAGCTGATTCGTGAACACGCACGAGGCTTCCAAAGTGTTCCTGTCCTGTCCTGTACCCCAAATGGCCTTAAAACTCTCTTCTATTCATTTATAAATATCTGACTGGACACTGCTGGTTTAATGGCTGAAAGCTTTCTCTCTCCCTCCCTGCGTCTCCCTCGCTGTCCTTTTCAGCGTGGATGGTTTCAAACCTATACTAATTAGTGCAATCGGGGCTCAATAGCTGCAGATCAATGGTACTCTGCCGCCCACTGGGAGCGACACACTGGGGGCCGAACCACACATCTGTCACACCAGAGAATGTGACACAACAGAAGGCCTGTCAGCCCAGGTGACGAATGCTGTCAGTGCTTCAAGGGGAAAGAAAATTACAGAGATCAATGTATAAAGAGACTCGTTGTGAAACGCTACATATCTATTATTGGCAGGCCAGAGGGTCACTACACTTCATTTGCATTTCTGCTTTTGACATTTAAAGTGGTAATCTGTGATTCTGGCTCCTTTCATTTAGGCAACATTGTGCTTAACTCCCCAATGATCACTTGTCAATCAAACACAGAGACCAGTACAGACTTGGTCCTTTTTTATTTCATTTATTTTTTATTTAGCTTGTCTGGAAACATTTGTCAGTTCAGCTTTCCTGGCTGTCATCGTTCACATTATCTCAGATATCTTTTGGCTATAACGCCAGTCAGTCCACCGCTTTGGACCAGAGAGGAAAATCACGGACACTGCTTGAGGGATGGCTATTAAATTTGGGGGGAAAAACTGAATTGCTTCGCAACACCGTCAGCAGGATCAATATCAACGGACTGCAAAGAAAAATGCGTCCAGTCATTCATGCATTCCTGTAACACAAATTGCAATGCATGAAAAATACACAAAACACGGACAACATTAACGTTGCCTGTTAGAAATATTGGTTAATGTCAAATGTCAAGAATAATCACAGGAGACATGTTTACCCTTTTACCTGCCAAACATCAGTGTCAGCATCAGACCACAATTATTCCACAACACGTCCTCACAACAGGACTGGCTCCTGCTACACAACTGTGTTAGGAACAGTGTGTTAAATCTGGAGGTATGGCAAAAAAAAAAAAAAAGGTTTTGTGCATGAGATGACCTTCGACCGCTGAATTCTAATCAGTTCAGTAAACATGTTCTAGAAAATTCCTTCTGGCCTTTAGAATATATTGTGTTCATGAGAATGTGATGGGACATATGGATGGACCACAGCTGAGCCCCAACCACAACATGTAGTAAACAACTACACATCCATGGTGTCCAGAGGGGAGGATGATAAAGGTGTAGGGAGATGGTGGTTCAGGCGGTAAATCAAGACTTCCAGGAAGGACACTGAGGTTTGGAACGATGGTTGAAGAGTTCATTTGCAAAAAAACATATACCTCCATCTTCACAAACCTTCAGAAAACCTACTTTTCCATCGTCTACCTGAGACAACATCAATCAAACTTAGTTACCTCTATTTTTTTTTTTTTTCTTTTTCAAGCAAACAACAAAAAAATAGTTTCTACAGAAATGGAGTTTTCTGTTCTGCAAATGAACTCTTCAGTTGTTTTCTGACATATGTGGCTCATCATTCAGGTTTTTAGTTGATTTTTGGTTTCGACAGCTAAACTTGTTGGTTAGGTTTCGGAAAGGTTCATGGTTTGGTTGCAGCTGATACCTATACAACAATCACCACATGTTGGGAGGCAAACTGCTTCCATCTGCAACAACCATCTCCATTTTCATGGTTACCACCGTCACAAGTTCCTCCCCATCTAAATTATGACTTGTTGGCATATATTTGAGACATTACGGGGGTGTTGAAGAGGTCTGTTGGACTACACTTCATGTTCAAAAAGGGTACCTGGTGCATTAAAATGTAACGCCAAGGGGCTGAGAACAAACATTTCTATGCAACGATTTGGAAGCAAGACCACCTCCATCAACATTGTCGAATATTACTCAAGTGTATAATGTTTTGAAGTTTTGCTGCCTGCACCAGATGGAATGGGTTTACTGGATAGGCAAGGCAGGTCTATTTGTATAGCACAATTCATACCCGAGCTAATTCAAAGCACTTCACACAAAAGTATAAGAAGACAGATAAAATCAGTAACATAAACACAATTATTAATTAATTACACTGAAAGCAAAGAGGCAGATAAAATCAATCCATAAAAACATAAATACAATCATTAATTAGAAGAGCACAGATGAAACACTTCCAGCTGTCAAATGCAGAACTAAACTGTTATCAGCCTGGATTTGAACTTTGTCAGAGTTGAGGCCTGTCGCACATCTTCTGAAATCCAGATTTTAGCTGCACAAAACTGGAACGCAGCCTCACCGTGTTTGGTCCTGACTCTGTGCACCAGCAGGAGACCCCACCCTGAGGTCCTCAGAGCCCAACATGGTTCATATGGTACCAACATGTCTTTGGTGCTGGGCCATGAAGAGACTTGTACACAAGCAAAGCTGTTTTAAAGTCAGTTCTCTGAGCGACAGGGCACTGGTGCAGAGACTTGAACGCTGGACTAATATAGTCGTACTTCGTGGTTCTTGTCAGGACTCGAGCAGCAGCGTTCTGGATACATCATGTAAACTATACACACCCAAAACGTATGACTGCAGTGTATCAGTGTGCTGAAATCCAAGCTCTACTCTAACCTCTGGATGTAGCTAACAGCCAAGAAGCAGAGCCGTTTTTAATAGCATCCATTTTCATTGTTCTTTAGGAAATATGTATAATAGATGAAATATGTATAATAGATGTCTCTAAACACTAACGACAGAGGAGTCTCTGTGTTTTCTGGTCTCTATTATTTGACATTATCAATTACTCCTCGTCAGGTTTGTGTGCTTGTCCCCACTGACGACTTCATTCTTTGTGTGAGTTTAATTAGTTTCTTACAATCAACTCTTACAGATAAACAAACTGCAGGCAGTCTACCTGCACCTCAGATGTGTCTCCTACACGTATACATATACAAAGCGTACGTATCTGAGGGAGATCCTGCCACTGGGATATCTAATACTCCATTAATTTTGTTTCGCAACAGTAATTTTTTCCCCTGATTGAAAAGACAGAAACACTGTCTGCATTTCAGTGGGTTGAAAGATTGCGCGCTTTTCTAATGCTAATCTGTGTAGTAATTAGAGTGCAGTCTTAATTTGGTCCTACATTCATATGGTTTGTTGTGGAGACTCACTTATCACACAAGCGCCGAGAGATTGTAGAAGAAAAGAACTGAGCTTGTTTAAAGCACTAAATGATGCGGCGGCGGCGGTGAAGCGTGCAGATTGTGCGATATCGGCACAACATGGTCAGTCATTTAAGCCTTTAATTAGGGCCACTTCTCAAACTTCCATCTCTTTCAACACGAGCTACTCAAAAATAAAAGCTGTACATTTCCCGGCAGTGAATATTACAATTTATATTATAGCCAAGAGAAGCCCAGCATTGCAAAGTGGATAACCAGCTGGCCACACAGACAATAATTGTCTATTATTTAGTGCCACAGATAAAACCTACGGCTTGTCAAAGGCACTGAAATACTTTAGAAGAGAAGTAAAGAATGAGTTATTTCAAAAGTGTGTTAATTAATGTTTTTTTCCTTCTCCAAGTATTAGAAAGCTTCTGCCCAAGGAAAAAGAAAAATCCTCATTTTTAATTGGTTATATATAAAAAGTGTTGAGTCAGAAAATGCCAGTTTCCCCAGAGGAAGTAATGTATTTACATCCCTACAGGAAAAAAATAAACCTATTCCATGAAAAGTCCAATATTTATATATTTTGTAGAAATCAAATAATGTAGGTACAAAGTCAAGCTCCTCGTTTTGTGCTCCCCTCACCGCGTCCGTGAAATAATTACAAAACCTGTGAGATAAACAGCGTAAATGGTCTAATTCACCTCTAATGTCCAGGTGCATGTAATGAGCTTTCTGTGCCTCGCAGTTCTTTGCAACATCCCCAACAACTGTACAACAAAAAGGTGCAAAGTTGCATTTTTCAGCCTGAAGTAATAACTCTCACAAGCACATTTTATTAATGTCACCAACAGCCTGTAGAACGGCTGCCCTCCGAGCAGCTGCAGCCCCCATGTGTTTTGGTCAAGGACACGGTGACAAAGATAAACTCTCTGGCTACGGCGGGAACTGACCTGCTGCTCTCCAAGTGTGCAGCACGGTCACTTTACCCACCTGAGTAAACTTGTCGCTGTACCAGTTTGTGTGCATCATGGAAACACGGTGTCCGTCTGACGCAAAGCTCCACCTATAGATGCTTAAATACGTCCTCTATGGTGCAGAAGAGCTGAAGTGTGTGTGGTGCAGGTGTGTGTCATCGCCATGCATCAGCTACAGAGCGGAAAACAATGGGAATAATTACCTTGATTTGATGTTCTTAGATCATCTGCCAGTTGTTAGCGGTGAAAGCCTGAAATGAACAGAAAAGGGAAAAGAAAAATAAATAAACAAGCCGAATCCGGCAGGAGTTTCATCCACCGAAGAAGGGGGCAGGTCCCCGCCTGACACACAGCGAAGAGTGCGAGGAAATTAGAAGGGAGTGTTCCTGATTGGTGCATTTGTCTACATCAAAGAGAGCTAAGTGCAACGTGAAGCAGCTGGGCAGGCCTTACACGCAGGAACAAAACACAAAGACACAATCAAGATTTTCACAGAACAGATTCAGCTCGTATGTGTGAACCGGCAGCTTAATAGCACCCTGTGACATTTAGAGAAAAAAAAAAAAACACTGCCTGATGCTGTTCATTATCACGTCAGTGTAAGCTGAAAAAGTTGAGGAGGTAGCAGAGTGGTGAGAAAAATGATATGATGTAAGGACCACTGGCTAGACTCAGAGGCATGCTGAGGAACTGTGTTACTTTCCTAAACAAGCACCATCTGAGCGCTCAGTGTGAGGCAGCAGCAGCAATGAGCAACTCCCTGGTATGAATCAATGTAATGGGATCAGTGTGACACAGAGGATGAGGGCAAAAAAGGCTGAAAACACTTCACTTGTCCTCCTGTTCCGTACATTATCTGGGATAAGGAAGGATGATGGGGCTAAAAGCATAAGCTTTGTCTTGGGGTGGAGTTTGCCGATGGGAGAGGTTCGCTTCTGGTGCTGTGAAAGCAGAAAAGTGCCACGGCCGCTGTCCAGGGTGCTGATCCTGATGCTCCCTCAAATAGTGAATTAGAAACCCCCTGGTGGGAACAAATGGACAAATAACTAACGGTCAATTTGAGTTATTTTAGTCTTTTCAGACCATAGCCTGCTTTTTAAAATAATTCTCTATAATTTTTTTGTCTGCACGTGGATGCCACACAGCTAAACCCATTCTCATCCGCAGGGTGTTAAATACCCCCATTCTGTGTCCAGTAGATACACACAAGGTGCTGTTTGGCGACGGGTTAAAGGGGCTTCATGAGGAGGTTGGAGGTGGCGTTAGCACAGGAGACTGGGAATAATGACCATTATGTTTTCACTTCATTTAGTTGTATTTTATAACTTTCATTTTCTTGGCTAATGTTGGGAAAAGATCGTAGTTTGAGTGTAAATCAGGGGTGTCCAATCCTGGTCCTCGAGGGCCACAGTCCTGCATGTTTTAGATGTTTCCCTCTTCCAGCACACCTGATGATCAGCTCATCACCAAGCTCTGCAGAAGCCTGACAACGATCCTGATCATCTGAATCAGGTGTGTTGGAAGAAGGAAACATCTAAAACATGCAGGACTGTGGCCCTCGAGGACCAGGATTGGACACCCCTGGTGTAAATACTTTGTTTCACAACAGTAACCACATGATGCAAGACAACATGTGTCCAAAAAGGGCAGCATAGGACTACTTGGAATTGAAATGTGTGCAGCAACAAGCATTAAACATCCATGCATAAATCACTGAGGTAGTTAAAACATCTAACAGATTCATTATAATGGGAAAAACTTAATTTTCTTAAGCACATAGTAGTTGCCACCATCCAAAACAGCATCCAGAAAAGGACCCAGGACAACAGCTATCAGGATCAGACTGTGATCTAAAGCCAGTATGAGCAGAATTTGTATTTCCTTTTTGCTTGTTGGAAAAAAAGTTAAAGAAAATATGGTGCAGTCATTTTGTTACCTTCACCAAATTAGTCTTGAGTCATCGCAATTAATCTGTGAGGAGGCCTAGTGTTGAGGAGCTTGAGCTTTTAAACTAATTCCTTTTTGTCCAACTCATCACTTGAGCCAAAAGCTGCACATGCATCAAAACACCATCATAGTTCTATTCCCAGGAAACTGAACTTTCTTATATGTGTTGGTGAAAGGCATCACGCTAAATGACACATTATTTTCAGTAAAAAATACACCAGGAAGTCAAACATTAGCTGGAAGTTTTCAGTCAACTGCGATGACTTACAGTCGTGCAAAACACAAGATTCACAAACTTCCTGCGTCCATTATGTCAAACACTCATTATCTGGTGCCTTTATTTTTTAGAATTTTTGTTCCTTGTTGGGGTTTCAGTCACTCAGTCGGCCCGAGAGGCTGCCGTGGTACCGAACATGTTATCAGTGAGGGATGTTGGGAACGAAGGCGTCCATATTGGAATCACTGATCAGCCATCAATCAACCATCCGTCAGGTCATTCATCAGGTAAACGGAGTGGAAGTGAGCGCCGACTTCATCTGTCTTCGCTGGACTTAGAGGTGAAGTCGACATGTCGGCGACTTGGAGAAACACAAGATGAATGGAGGTGAAGGGAGAGGAACCACACACACTGACACAAACACACACACACACTATTTTTCACACCTAACAACTGTACTAGCTGCACAACTACTACTTACACTGGCAGGTAATCTGTAACGATGATTGCCATTGCATTGTGACCGTGATGAAGCTGTGTGTCTAACAACGCTAATCAGTGGAGAGATTTGAGATGTGTGTGTGTGTGTGTGTGTGTGTGTGTGTGTGGTGTGTGTTAGTGTGTCTGTAGAGTATTTCAACTCTGTGCATGCTATCACAACACACAATGACACATATAAACACACCCCATGTCACATTTAATTGTGTTACTGTATAACATAGTGTAGCTTTTCCACTCCTGGTTTCTCTCAGAGAGTTTTCCAAACTCTTTAGAAACACTGTGGACAGTCTCACATGTTGCATCGTGTGTGGTCAGGCTGTTTACACGATTTGGTTAAAGTGAGAAAGAGATTTTAATGCAATGAAATCAGCTGATTTCACACATGAAGGACAGTTTACTTGTCAAGAGCCCCACCCCGACCCCTCCTGCTATACCCCACACCCACTCTCACCCCAACCAGTCGAGGCAGATGGCCGCCTTCCCTGAGCCTGGTTCTGTCTGGGGTTTTTTTCCCCTCCCTATTAGGGTTTTTTTTTTTTTTTTTTAGTT